CTTTTTTGTAGGGATTTTGTTTGATTGGTTGGAGGATTTCATCATGAGCTGACATCAGTTAGAGAACCAATAGGACTCTTCATCAGTACGCACCCACCGGGGTTCGAACCCAGGGCCTTCCGGTTACAAGGCTAGCGGGCTCGTAGACCATTGAGCCACTGGGACTCGATCCAATGGCCTATGAATTCCAACTTCTGCCAATTCATGACATAGCGCGACCACTTCGCAATGTCTTCTTCGATGAGTTATTGCCTTACCTGAAGAGTCCCAAACCAGGACGAAACAGCTGTCCAGTAGTCTCTTACAGGTTTTCCAATGGTTCTCTAACTGATGTCAGCTCATGATGAAATCCTCCAACCAAATACCTTATTCGACTGAAGTTCAAAATGTGAATAATCGAGAAGTCTTCTTCCTACAGATAATCTCTACACCTACCTATAGGACTACTAGTTAAATAATAGTTTTGCCAAAAATAAGCAATATAACAAATACAATACTGCTTAGATATATTGATCCTTTGTGAATCTTTCACCTCTAACAGAAAGACACAGACATCACGCCAACTTCTCAAATGGAAAGACTTTTTGAGTATGAAAGATACAGAAATAATAAACAGAGTAAATTTAAGAGGCATTTAGACTTACATTTAAGAAAACCAGACATTTCAAACAATGTGTTTTGAAACGGTCGGTCGGCGGCGTTAATAGTGGACTATCACCTTTACACACCATAACAAACTAAAGACTTGAGTATGGACAGAACTCAATTACACGGAATATATTTTTCAGGCATCAGACTAGGTTCCACATTTATTAGGTAACAGTTCGTGATACCACCCAGTCTTTCGGGCTGAATTAGGTGAAATAGGGATTCGGACCCCAACCCCACTGGCTGAATATTGAGTGCTTAAGCCAATGAGCCATATTTCTTGCTTAACGACTAAGAAAACATCAAAATCCAAGCAAATGCTTATACACAGAAGTCACTTCCATTGATTTCAAGTTTGATCACCACCTGACTTCAGTTAGAGAACCATTGGAAATTAGAGAGTATTGGACATCTGTTTCGTCCCATATATATCGCGAAATGGCAGAAATTACAATTAATGGGCCATTGAATTCTCTCCCCGTGACTGAATGGTTAACCAGTTCACCTTGTAGCCTGAAGGTTCTGGGTTCGATCCCCACTGGGGTCATGGGTGCGTACTGCCAAAGACTCCTAAACTAAGGTGAAACAACTGTTCAGTACTCCCTGGTTTTCACTAGTCCTCCAACTGAAGTCAGTTGATGACCGAATTGAAGTCTAAGTTTAGCTCTACATCATAAGCTTCGTTTTCATAAGAACTGGTTTATTTGCCACTCATCATGAACAGATCCTGTATCATATATGGGGACTACTAGTTTAGAAATAAGGCAGATACAGATAAGTTGCAACTAATATTACTTCTTTAATTCATCAACTATGCTACAAGGCATTGTTCGTATACCTATGACACAATAGTTGACAATTAAATTTGTAAAAATAACAAACTATAGTTCTTACTTAGAAGTCCCATAATGGATAAGATTTTATTTTGATAAATCACACAGTGTAGTACAGTTATATTAACTGATGACGTTTCGAGCACAAACTATTGCTCATAATCATATCAAGTTACTCACACAACTTCTTTCCTTCATTTATATACATGTGTGGAATCGACTAGATATTGGAATAAAATTCAATATGAGATAATGTACATTCAGAAATAATAGTACGAGTGTTATTAATCCATTGCAATTAGATGGGAAATACGACGAGTGTTTTTATAGTCATAATAAGTTGATTGTTAGAATGTGTTGATGTGTTTGAATGGAAATAGAATTTTAAGATTATTTATCATCTTCTTCTGATTTGACTGGTGGCAATAATACGAGTGTTATTAATCCATTGCAATTAGATGGGAAATACGACGAGTGTTTTTATAGTCATAATAAGTTGATTGTTAGAATGTGTTGATGTGTTTGAATGGAATTAGAATTTTAAGACTATTTATCATCTTCTTCTGATTTGACTGGCGGTAATAATATCTTCCATATTTCTGGTATTTGCGTTGAGTCACTTCTGTTGCATGTGTTGGGTGTAGACTCGATGAATAAGGATTCCGTAATCAACCTCTCTTTCCACCTACCTATATTACGTTTTAGAATTTTAACCCTATCCCACCCTATTGTGTGGTTGTTTGCTATTGCGTGAAGTGCAATAGCTGAGTTTTTTTCTAAATTACTTATCTTTTCAGGGTCAATCATTTTCCCTTTAGCTAAATTCTTATCTTCTGATAATCTGACTATCCTTGACCTACTAGTTTGACCTATGTAGTTGACTTCACAGTCATTGCAAGGTAATTTGTAAATTATATTATTTTGTTTAATTGGTCCAACGGGTCCTTTAACCTACAAAGTTTGTCTCTGAGTGAGTTTGTTGGTTTGAATGCCACCCTAATTCCTGCTTTATTGAGAATCCTACGTAGGGCCTCAGATGTCCCCTCCTTATATGGTATAACAGTAGAAGACTTATATTCTCTCTTATTTATGTTATTACTACTAGTTACACAATTATTTTTTTTATTTTGTTTTTGGCGTTTACTGATCTTCTTAATGAATTTTATAGGATAGTTATTCAACACCAACGCTTCTTCTATCTGTTTTATTTCGTCATTTAGGTCCTTTTTTGTGCTACTTAGTGCTATGGCTCGGTTTGTCAGACACTTAACCAAGCCTGCCTACTTAGAAGTATTTTTCAATTATGCCTTATAAAAATACATTTCCAATACTCCGCGCAAAATTCTGTATTACTTGTGAAGATTTATTTGTAAACGTCCCGAAAGTTTGTCTACTGAACCAATAGATAATCCTTTGGAATACATATCATTTACATAAGTTTACCTAATCAAAAGCTTTCCATAACAAATAGGACGCTAATTTTATGCAGATAGTGATTACGGTGACTGTCTGTCTGTTTTCGACATAGAACTTTGCACATACGTGCGGCAGTTCAAGTCGCCACACTCCCTCCTTGTAGCACACAAAGCAAGAGAAGGAAGTAGGAGAAATGCATAATATAGACAGTAAACAGAGGTGTGAGACAAAAGTATAGTAATAACGAAACAGTTTAATTGGAAATCATAAGTCACAAGGAGTGGATGCATCTGCGCCACTGAGAACGATTTTGAGCCATGTCACCAATTGTTTCCAACCATTGGTTTTTACCGTCCCGAGGACCCCAACCAGGAAGTCTACACCTTCCTACGTGGCTTAGACTAACTGTTATGGACTTCACTGACTGATGCTATATTTTGGTTTAACCGCCGTTAGCTCTTTTCCAGCCTGACCCTTTATCAGCTAACATTCTATGTCGGTCGAGGAAGGCGATGACTAGGTATGCATAACACATGTCCTAACCATCTCAGTCGATGTAATTTCACAGTCTCGTTGACTGATTTCCCCTCGCACTCGACGCCTAACCTCAATATTGCTCACCTTATTATACCACTTCACACGGGAGATAGAACGCAGACACCTATGATCGAACACAGATAATCCTTTCATGTCTTCCACTCTCAGTGGCCAGCTCTCACAACCATAAAGGAGGATGGAGTGGACTGTTGAGCAGTACACACGCCCTTTGGTCGATAGTCGAATATCACATCTACGCCAGAGACGGCATAAACTGGCATATGCGAAACAAGCCCTCTGTATTCGTGTTGAGATTTCGTCAGAGATCAACCCGTTGGGGCTGATGGTACTTCCCAAGTAAGTGAAGTGGTCAAAGTGCTCTACCACTTCGCTTCCTATTTCTAATCTAGGAGTCGGTGTAGTCCAATCCTGCAACATCATCTTACATCATACATGATCACGGTGTAATAAATAACATAAGAAATACATACACTCAGGAGACTTCACAGTCCTGCAAGCTTGATAATAAATACTCAGACTTACACTGATCTTCAATATGCGGTAAACTGTTCTGATAGTTTGTTTTCATTATCTTATCTGCCCCTCTCCGTGTAACTGATGCGAAACTACTATGAGGAAACTCTTTCATATATTGATTAGGATAAACAATACCAAAACTGGAGTCACTATGTGGACTGTGAAAATTCATGTTTCTCTGCTGCTGTTGTTGTTGTTGCTGCTGATGCTGATGGTGCTGCTGTATGACCTGTGGATCCATTATCCTTGTGCATCTTGTTGACTCAGATATTGTTGGTGGAAACATACCTGAGTCGTGTGATTCAGTTCCAATGAAAGTAGACAAAAATACATTTTTAGATGGATTATTTTGAACTGGACGCGATGATTTCACTCCACCACTTTGTATTATCCGTTCACGCGGTGGATGTAACTTGATACACCAATCACGTAAATGTTCTTCAAGATTTGAACGATAAACTATACTATCACAGGTAGGTGAATTAGGACAAGCAACTAATAATTTATCTAATAATCTAAAAGATTAAAAGAAAAAAAACAAAAGATAGTTAAACAGCCTTGAATGAAACGTATGCACAAACATTTCTATTCACTTCTGGCTAGAAGTATGAATTTCGCAGAATAAACATAATAAAGCATAGTAATCTGATATTATGTAAATAATCAATGTACAAACTTTACATACAACGCGTAAATCGACAACAATGCTAAAAAATTAACACTAATCTAGTAGTATTGGCAGTTAATCACCAATAGTTTCGGTGACAGATAATAGAATTACTAGATTAACAGTGCAAGCAACCTTTATTTGTTCAGATAGTTGGTATTATGGGTTTTTATTTATTTGTATTTATTCTTTTGTGTTCTCCAAATTGGAACATAGGGAGTTTCAGTAGAGGCAATGCTTTTCATACGCGCCTAACGCTCCCTTTTTCCCTGACCTACTACTGGTTAAGCGAGGTTTAGAAGTGAGTCAGCCAGAAGTCGAATCCCGGATTACGTGTGTGGTTGACGAGCAATTTACCACTGAACCACCAACGCACATTTACTTTATGTATCTTTTAATTTGATAACGGGGTACAAAAAAGACAAAGTAAGTGAAATGTACTGCCACTTATCGTTTAAAAATACTTCAAAATGACCACAATTAGGTCATAAAAAGTGAAAAGTAGATTTCTAAGGCTTATAAAAGTAAGTACACAGGGTGCAGTACTTTGATGTACGTATTTCAACACCAAAGAGTCCGTCAAAGGTCCAAAGCCTGTTCTGTCTACTGCCGTTTAAGGCAGTCAGTTAGTACTGTCAACTCTCATACAACAGTCATGAGTTAGACGAAAAGTGCACAAAATCTCACATGGTTACTGACTTGCAAAATATATTAGTGCTATGTGTGCCAACTTGACCAGATACAGCACTTATCTATTATACATAGGAAAGCCTCTTCAGAACACTAGAACGCTAGATTTCTGTTACTATAGCAATGCAGGCACCAATATGTACAAATCAATATCATCACCTAGATCCAGCTAATAAATAAACCACAAAAAGTAACGTGTTTTCACCAACCATGCAATTCGAGCTAAGCTAGTAATAAGACTGGCAAAGAGAGAAGGTTGTGCGTAAGGTTAGCAACCTCACTCCGCAAAAACAACGCGGTCGCCACTGAAACTTGAAATTTCGAAGCTCCACGCTCCATTCAGAACGCAATGAATAAAGAAGCAGAAGAAAAAGAAAAACATGTTCTATTTACATATGTCCATGGGTAATTTGATCCATCTCATTATTATTCAAGTATATAATAACCTGAGCAGAATTTACTCTCATCATTTAAATACTGTCAAAACAAACTCATAAGTGAAACAATCTCTTAAGTATAATTTACAGGATGATTCAAACAGGCAGACTCCGAACAACTGGTTTGCAGCTCAACTAGATACGAGATACCAGGCACAATTGCTAACCAGATTATTATTCCAATATAGTCATAACCAGGTAACTCCCAACTGTTTTATGAGTGTCCGCATGAATGAATGATCTGGAGGTCACCGGTTCGAGTCCCGCTCGTAACAGAGAGTTTCACTTCACCTTTAATTATCATACATTACATAAATATTAGTTTGTCGACCACCCAAGGCCATCTAAGATAGTCTCACTGTCAATTATTTTAAACCATTTGGAGTTAAGAAATTTGAATATCATACTGATAGTGTTTATATCATGACAATTCTATTTTGAATGAAGCTGACATAAAGAAGAATTCTAATCAGAAGGAATAAGTGTTTTTACACGGTTGTAAATTCGTAGTAAGATATTTAAACTAACTACATGTTTTAAATATTCCTCATTTATTGTTCCTTAATTCAACCCTTAAACACGTAAGCTTTCTTATTAATGAACTGCTTGCAGAAGGAAATTTATATTTCTATGGAATATGACTGTATGACAAGTACTGTATTGGCGGGAGAGAAGTGAGCTGTCTGTCTGACTGACTGAGTTTAAACATAGAACTCTGCACAGAAGTGCAGCAATTCAAGCTACCACACTCTATGTAGCACACTAAGAAACGGAAAGGAAAAAACCTCAAAAGAACTATAGCGTGCATAAATGTACGGAAAAAGAACAGTAACATGAAAAAGCGTGAGGACTTAATGTATCTGGGAAACTATAAAGAGTGATTACATCTTCACCAATGAGGACGATTTTGAGCCATATCATTAATGGTGAAAAGACATTGGATCTTAGTACCCGAGACACCAACCAAACAGTCTATCCGTCCCTATACGGATCAAAGCAACTTACAAAGACTTTATGGACTGATTCCAGGTTTTGGTTTCACCACCACTAACCCTTTTCCAACCCAACCCTATACCAGCTAATATTGCATAAAGAAAGGGGCGTCTCGACACGTGTCCTAGCTGTCCTAGCCTTGTCGATTGACTTCTCCCCCTTACCTAGCACCCTAAGTTCAAACTCAATATTGCTCATTACATTATACCACTAAAAACGGGAGATAGAACGCAAACATCTGTGGTAAAAGGCAGCCAGTCTTTACATATTTTCTACTTTCAAATTTCACGTCTCATAGCTATAGAGAAGGGCACGGCGGACTGTTACGCTGTACGCACGTCATTCCTTCAATAGTTGAATATCACGTCTACGCCAGCGATGACGTAAGTTGACAACTGCCATACCAGCTTTTTGTATCCGTGATGAGATTTCATCCATTAGGGCTGATACTACTTCCAAAACAAGTGAATTGATCAAAATGCTCAACCGCTTCACTGCCCATCTTTAAACTAGGAGTCAGTGCAGACCAATCTTGCAGCAGCATCCTACATTTGATAAGAGGTAAGTTTTATGCAGTGACTAATGACACCAACACTTAAAACTGTTTTATTTTAATAAACAGTTCAAGTGTAGAGTGCAGTTATTCTCCGCTCTGGAAAGCCTAAGAAAACATGTAAACACCACTACCAACATTATTATCATTGCTACTCAAGAATAAGCAGTTGAAAAACCTGTGTCATTGGATTTCAATAGGCATTGGTAAAAAAAATTATAATAACTTAAGTCAGATAATATTATGTGCAAACAAAATAGAAATCTTTTATAAACAACAGTAGTAAATACCATTACTAACTAACTAACCGTTTAACAATATTCGAGGCTTGTTGACATTCTAAATAATTGATAATTTGTCTATCCACAGGACAAAGAGCTTGAACAGCTAAATGATTCTTTAAACACGGTGAACAGAACGTATGACCACATTTAGTATCAAGGGGATCAATCAAAGGTTGACAGCATAACTAAAATACAAAGAAACACGTATAAATTGGCAATACTTTATATAACGAGTTAAAATCAACGAGTTATAAATGAATACGTTACAGATGGATTATAAACAAACTTAAAAATAAGCATGAATCGCAGGTGAATACGGACAGAAGAATAAATGGGAAAAGTTAGATAAAAAACACACTACTGTATATTAACACTAGGTTACCGAGGCCTACTACGATCTGACCACCTACCAAATCCGAATTTAAGTAGTTATGAATTTTGGTATAACAATCACTCAGTTACCAGAGAATCAGAATCACAGAAAATTCATCTTACTTCAGACTTTCGAGTCTGTGTCACTCAGTGCTGATGTTATGAACTTTGCAAACGTAGGCTGAAATTATTTGCGCTCACTAATCGCCAAATAGTAATTGGTATGATTGACGAATTGTCAGAAATCGTGAAAATAGTAAGAACAAACCGCGTATAAATCAAATGGAAGATGGGAAACAATGAGTTTCCTCTAAGCCTAGCAATCGAATCAGTTTCTCTGGTCGAAAAATCCTAGTGGTCACAGTATTAATTATCAGGGAGCTGAAATTTAGTTAGATTACAGTTACCCAGTACTGGAGTCTAACGACACTACTTACTTGCCCAGGTTGAATCAAATGGAATGGGACTCAAACCCGAGACCCACTGACTGGAAGTTGAGCCAATGAACCACATCTCCACAGAGAATTAAAAGCTACAATGAAGCCATCTTCAGACCATTTCCATTATTCTCATATCCTAACCAATATAGTGAGCGAACACTTGAAATTAACAGTACTATTCACCAAACAAATTACATTACATAAACTTCATATACGGGAAACTTTCTTTAAAAAAAGGAATCTCAACAATTCTTTTTACCGTCTCAATTATCTTTAAAACAACTACGCCACTCTTCAAGCGATTTATTTGCATTGACCACAAAAGAAAGTTTAGTGAAGTAATATTCGCACTACAGTCAACATCTTAAACGCCTAAAATCGACAGTTACAAAATAACAATAAGGCGCATTTTCTTCAACAGACTTCATGAATTACTACAAATACATAATTTAGAACTTTGACAACAGAATAGAAAATTATTAGCTCAAAGAAAACTGAAAATATTACTTGGGAATGTCACTTAATGTTTGGCAACCATCATTGGAATCCGAGACAGGTTTTGTCCTATACAGGACTCATTGGATGAATGTGATTACACCCCAGTGTGACAGTGTGGCTGCTGACTCCAACGCCACTGCCATCACTAAATGACAAAAAGTTATCTGCTGAACTGCTGAAGTCACTTGCGATTATTTATGAAAACTTGATTTTAAAAAATGGGAAAAGATACAACCGTAAGATTGCGACACACAAGTGTAAGAACAAAATTGGAACTCACTGTACAGCACAAATCAGCATCCACAGTTTGTGTATAATTATATATATGAGGTGAGGTTGGGTCATGTGACTGACCGCAGATACGACATAAATGTTTTACAGCAACTGTAGTTTTAGGAACACATTCCGACAATTCATTTCGAGCACTGCTAGTTGGATAATTTGACTGAATACTTTCCTTGTTCAATGATTTAGGCGACATAGACGACGTTATTGCTGTAGGTTGAACAAAACAACTAGTTTTACCAGATGATCCAATTTTCGGATGAAGTTCTGTGAAGGCAGATCCAGGCGAAGGAAATGTAGACGGTGTACAAGTGGTTGGAGTGAACTGTGGGGAGTAGGCAGGTAAACCAGATGCAATATTTTCAGAATAAGAATAAGGCAGACTCGGTGGTTCAAAGGATGGTGGATTAGTAAATGGATTAGGAGGGATGAAATTAGCTGCTTTGACAGATTTAGGTGTTGAAGATTCACAAATCATGATGTTAGTAGTAGTGTTCGACAAGCTGGAACTGATAGGATTTTCCTGAAGACAAGTAAATGCAAACAATTGAAATTCAAGTGTTTAGTATAACACAATAATATATGCGAATAATCATTGTAATATTCAACTTCCAGTCCAACTAGTGCATAGGTCGACAGTACTTCATCCAAAATACGAAAACTTTAATCATTATGAAATGACTTGAAAAACTGATTAGAATTGTAATTTTTATCTCCAAGATAGATGTAAGTGACGAAATAAAATGTATATATGCGACTTACTAAATGAAAAGACGCAGTCATATTTTAATTCAGGAAATACACTTTCTAATCTAAACGGTTTTTCACTAATTACTAAATGTCAGTTAAGAATCATTAACTAAGAAATTAGCTTACTATTATCAAAATGCACATAAATTTTTAAAACTCACCATTTTGCTTATTTCTTTTCCAGACGTTGAGCTTAAATTATCGTATATTGCACGTTGAGACAAAATAATATCTTCAGGAGGTTCTGGTAACAATGGTGAGCCCTTAGACACAGGAAGATCAAAGCCAGGACTACTAGCGACAGTAGTATTTGTTTCACTATCTCCACCTAGACTGCCTGTACTATCATCGCAGCAGCTTCCTGTCTGCATGACTAAACTGCAAATCCAAAGAAGTTAAGCTGGGTTGTGAAACAGACAAAACAAGTGAGCCAAACCATAGGATAATCATATGCATGGTATACAATAAACTAAAGACTTCATAAGATTGTACATTGTCTATTTTCGAAGGAATCAGAAATCAAGATAATCTCTGAAGTACATCTAAAAAACAAAAAGATATCAATTAAGTGCTAAATATTTGATCAAGTACTCGATATATACAGTATAATTCAAACTCATTAAAATATACTGTTTCTTGGTAATTAATCTGGTCTTTCTTCATCTTACATATTGAGCACGTAATATTGAATTCAGTAGTAAGGCGGCACAACCTAATTCCTTTTGTGCTTCATTCACTTACCCTTTTAAACATGAATTAAACGACAAATCTGCAAGTATATTTCAGGTTCCACTATATTACAGTCAACAGTACATTCAGATTCTTTCAGGACTAACAATTACATATAATAGGTGACTGGTGATTTATCACATCTACATATTAGATAGCAGCGTACAAAGTCTTTAACAGGTAATCGGATATACCTTAGATGAAGCATCTAGACGTATCCAACCCACTAGACGAGCGAAACTCCTGGCATCTTTAGCCACTTTACTCTCCGTAACTAGATGTGATCAAACTCAATTCGAAGTGAAAAACATAAACCGGGATTTCTAAGATTATCACTTGGAGGGTTTAGAGGAAATGGAATCTTGTCAGTTTGCCTAGAAAAGATGAAAAGCCACTCGACATGCATATTACTGCGCTTGACAACAAGCTACACCAATGATATGAAGGCAAATAATACCACATGGTTGTCAAAACTATAATAGAGTTAAATTCGAATCCGTAGCTCAACATACGAAAATCAGATGGCTAAACCAATGAGGCCCGGTGTAGGTAGCGAGCGGAGCTACGCTCATTTAGACTAAACCACCTAGGAAGTATAAGAAGCAATTGGCGAATCCAACCATCTTTTTGAACTTTCAGAATTAATGAGATCAGATAAGAAACATCTGAGGCCTATCGAAGAGCTTCACATACTTGATTCTCCTATTTCTATCCCTGCACTATTTCTTAAAAAAGCATTACTATAGCTTGAAAGTTAAGATTGCGGAAATGGATGGATAGACGATACCCTATAAATTACAAGCAGATTGTTGCTAGTACTGCAGTTAAAATCCCGGAGATGACAATATACGAAAAGCCATTCCAGCGTAGCATGATTTGTCTTGACAAACCACTAATAAGAAAACTTCAGATAAGTCGAAAGGTAACAAAGAGCCTAAATACCTCCTTCAAGGATCTTAATAGCAGATGATTCCAGGATGTACTTAAAATTCGAGCTTCGGTATAGCTAGCTGCCTATTTAAAAGGTCCGAATTGTTCAGTGATAGGCTTAACACTGGACGACATTACAAAGCGATGGGCTCAGTACTTGGTGCATTATTGTCGACTAGCTACGCTCACCAAAATTTCGCATGAAGACCTGAATGAAAGAAATATTATGCAAATTTTGCAAAGGGGCCTCGATAATATTACCAGTAAGGACTGACTGCTGGCCATTGAGTTTTTTATATAACCAAACAAATCTGGCAGGCAGATCACAGTTTACATTGTATCACCGAAACACCACTTCCCTCAGTCTAGATATACATTAGCCTAACAGTTATAGTACGCCACAACTTAGAAAACACTTTTAGCTGCAAATTTTAGGTTAAGGAAACTTTTCATTGCGTAGTAAGTAAGACTTTAATATCAGCGGGTTCGGAAAAACTAGTTTAAATATATTGGCAACCATAAAGAATGGATACCACATCCAAGCCCCAGAAAATGACCTTAAGGAAGTGAATTAGATCGTTAATCGTTCACAATGGATTTATAAATGCAGACTGATCCCATATGTCGCATAGAAGCGCCCATGAGAAACTGACTCTATACTTACGGTGAAAACATGCTTTACTTTCTCACAGATATTATTTGACATATCAAACCCGTTCGCACACAAAACAATTTTGGAAGGTTAACGACTTGATTGGCTTTGTAGTTGAACCTTGAGTGGGGGTATCTACTCTTTATAGTTGCCAGTTGTCATAACCCTGATAGGGCTATAATATTACATAGAAGCAGTGAGCATTGGCCAAAGAAGGATTCGAATACACTTTATGGGTTTTTAAAGTTTGATTTGATTTGATTACAGCCTGATGCAACACCGTATTTTCAGTACAAGTATGGAATTTTCAGCATGGATGTCGGTAGCCCAAATTTTGCAGGCCGACCATATATATCGGGTGTGCGTCGGCAGGGGATCGAACCCCGGACCATGTGCATGGTCGGCGAGAGTCCTAACCACTGTGCCACCGACAGTGGTTCCCGGCACAACAGTTATACTAGAAAAATGACTCTGGGGATTTGGTTTCTTTTTTTAGTCAAACTAATGGGATTTTAGTGATAAAAATATGGACTCGACTTATTTCGTATTCATGCATACAAGGTTAGTACAACTCGGTAACTTAGGTTGAACATTAGTATTGAACTCAATTATATCCATTCGTCAAGGCTTTTTGGAAGAAGGAGTATTAAAATATATAACTGAATAATTCAGATAGTGCTTGAGCAAGAATTATTTAGACAGGGAAACATAGACCCAAAAATAAGTGAATCTGAACTCAAAGCGCTGGAGCCATTTCAAGAATAATATAGCCCGATTTTAGGAAACTCGAGCATGTTGAGCCAACAACCATAATAATTCCACTGTTTTATGCAGGCAGATTATTGTAACAATGAATAGAAGCGTTTGAAAGATTCAACACCTGAAGAACCTTTGTTAAACGGGTTCGTTTCAGTTTAAACACGATCAAAAATATATTCGACAAAATGATACCTCGCCAAAACATACTCAAGTATAACAAAGCGTAACAACAAATGGAACAAAGCTTGAATATGTAAGGGTTTAGGGTAAACCAACATATGTAACGTACCGCAACAGATTCCCCGCTTCTACTAACTTATACTGTTTTCAGATTCAGATTCATGACTGTGCAATAACAATAACACCTATTCTATCTCAAGCGTTTTGGATATTAATCTAGATGCAATTTTCAAATCCCAACAGTAAATTTATTGGTAAAAATCTTTTTCCTTATGTCCAACTGAAATACCTACTTCGTTTACTGTAGTCACGTGATTTCATTTGTTGACAATGTGAGTACAGTTCTCGAAATTCGATGTCACTCTGAATATCTAAATTTGTGTAGAATTTCGCTGACTACGTTAAGACGGTGAAACTACTGGCGCCAAATTTAGTCCATTCTCTGGTAAGTTATACTATATTAGTCATTTCAGGGCAACATAAGTGATCTCACGTAAAAGTAAGTAATAATTAAACAGACAAGTAGGCTGATTGCTGAATTAGAGTGAGAGTAGAAGGACTGTTATTGTGCCAGCGATAGCAGCATTAAGTGAAGCACGTTCCTGGTTTGCCTACAAGCCGTTTTCACCAGCAGATGGTGTTTATGTTGAGTCTGGATTTAATGTGGTTGACATTTAATCGGAGGCAACGTGAGTTTCACTGAATAATAATCAAGTCACTTTTTATAGTTTCGAATGAAATCACAGCGGCTAAAGGTGCTGGTAGTGTAATCTTAATGCATAAAACCTCAAACTAAAGTGAACGGAGGAAAATCCAAGTTTGGACCCACTGGTGAATAATCCATGATGGCACTGAGATAAGGATGATTTTGATGACTTAGTGGTTGTACCATCACCTGCAGACAGTTCTATCTGCCCTTGATCTGCTGACGTCATGTAGCTTGTAACTCCTAAGTACAGACAGACACGGCTCCTGCATAGACTTTCTGTAGGTTTAATGGTGAAGACCAGTAGACCTGTTTGAAGTTTGTCTTAGCACCATATCTAAGAGACCATATTTTTCTTGCGGAAGGATGGATGAATGATGTTATGGGCGTCCACTTAGGGTTGCATGTAAGTCTTAAACAGTATCTAAAAGAGAACGGCAGAGAGTGCATCCAGCTGCCTGTCCATGAAGTGTAGAACTGCTTAAAACATGGCCGCTTCCCCATAATAATTCGTGCATGTACCTGGCTTCTTCGTTAGAATGCGACGTCGCACATGCACTAGCTATGCACACTATACTAAGGCCACACAGAGAGTAGGCCAAACTGTTTTTTGTAGCAAGTATTTATTTTTGCTTTTGTGTGGGCATTGAGGCACTCTTTAGGATGTGATGAAATTTTCTTGAACTAACCTCTTTCTTCCATTTTTATGTTTCAGGGGTCCCTTGAGGCATCTAAGTAAGGACTTATTCTCCTGCCAGAGCTAGATAATATCCTACCTGACCGACGTATTATAGGGTAGTCCGCTCACCGAGTTTCTTCCCCAACTTACCCAGATTATACCCGTTGTCTCAGCACTAGTTTCTCGTCTCCTGGTGTCACTATTCCAGTAAGTAAACTAATGGCAATCAACCATAAAATATCAGATAATCATCCTTTAGACAGAAACATGAATAAGACACCGGCATTTCGGAAAAGAGACCGACAGAACCGTCGCCTTCTAACACAAAAACATTCCTGGCTACAGGCTACAATTCGGATATCTAGAAGTAGGTATGCATCAGTTCATAGCTTATGCTTTTGACTCTGTCAACTATTTGCATGAAGTTTGAACTGGTTAGACCTTTAAAACAGACTCAGCAGGACAGTCAAGGAGTGCTGTTCGCCTTGCGTAATAATTAGAGTATATTCCAGCAAACCATGACTACGGATTTCGGAAGACGTACTCTTAACACTACAAATAGTTTGCAGACATTGATTACTGCGTTGTGCATGATGTATAAGATGGGAAAAATTGATAACAGTTTGGAGTAGGAACTTCAACGGAAAATACTTAGTAAGCGAAATTAACTTGTTCCGCATAGTTGTATTATGCATGTTTCTCAACCAATATTATAGGCTTTTCCGAAATTAAGTCT